TTCCGCCCTGGTATGACCACCGAGGAACTCGCCGAGGTGCTCGAGCAAGCCTCTCTCTTCGAGGTGACGACCCATTCATATGCAGGCTCTACGACCTGGACGGAGTCAGAGCAGCCTCCTGGAAGCTCAGGCAGCGACACCCTCGAGGATGACAACAGACGTAGCAGAGACTTCCGAAGAACCAGAGACGGTCATGACAAGAAGAGATACATGACCAGCGGTGGAACAGCCAAGGGCAAGAATGGCAAGGTGGGGCGTACCATCCTCAACGGCATCATGAGGATAGGCGGCAGGGCAGACAGTCCAGAGCACAAGGAAAAGAAGTCAGACTCGAAGAATCAGAAGTGAGCCGCAGACGATACTCCTCGCCTTATTCCACAGGATACACGGGCCTCATGCTCCTTTCTTTTTGGTTATTCTTTTCCTAGCTTGCCACGCCTTTTGATGTTTCTTCTTCATCAACACCTGGGGGAACCTCTTCCCGACTCTTCTTACACGGGATTCCTACCTCCTTTTCTTTCGACGCATCTATTATCGTGTTATTTTTCTTGCACAGCGACGCCGCTATGAATTGACGACCCGAAACGCTATATCCAGCATCTCTATCCTCACTATCAAGAAAAACAAAAATAAAATTCTCGCCTGCCGTTCATCCATCTACCTCGCCCTATCTTCTTCTCTATTTTCTCGACCTTGGTCCTACTCTTCAACGACTCCTTCCCCGCCGAATATCAACTATTGCAAAAAAGTGAAGCGACGGCTTTCCTCAACATGAGTAGGAGCGTTTCTCTGCGAGGATTTCGAGATCTTGCAGGTTGTATACCTATATATCATTATATATATACCCCCCAAAAGAACAGCACGCTGGCCGGACTTCTCTTCTCGTCTTGTTATATTTGCATATCCTAGATGTTTTTGGAGATTGGCTAGCAGCATGGCTTTGATCGGGTAACTTCCCTCTTCCCCCTTTTCTGGATTTCGAAGTGGACGAACATCTATATTCCCTAGCTTTTGCATCCACCTTGCCCTCTATTCTTACTCTTCTTTGTCTCTCGCTCTACGATATTATACCTTTTCATGATGGGGGACATGTTGACTACTATGGATGGCTAAAAGCAACGCCGTGTCTGGAGGGTGAAATGCCCCTGTTTCGCGTTATGTACCAGTGGATGAGAGATGAAAACCAACCTCACGTTTATCGAAAGACGGCTTCTCGCTTTACTTTCTTGACCTACCTACCCCCCTTCGACAACCTATCACGATTGGTTAGGCTCGTACCCAAAAAGCATTGTACAGACCCCTGACCCGAAGAACACAAAAGTCACCATTGACGCCTTTTAACCCCCCTGGAGGGAGGGAGAGGCAGTTGGGAAACAAGAAACGAAAATAAAAAACACCAACCGGATCCGTCTTTGCTATACTAGCAAAGATAGGGAAAGAGACGGAAAGCTTTGGAGCGGTTAGGGAGATTAGACTACTAGAAACTTTTTTCCATAGTAAATATACACCCTTTGAGGTGTTGAAACAATCACAGTAGCTGCTACGTGATACTATAACATGATGTAGTGAACGAGAGACCAAGGCTTCAACAAACATAGAAATCTCTCTATGTCTTGATTTGTTTTTTTAAACGTTTTTTATCTTTTCATCTCGTGCCCATAGATGGAACTCTGGGTTGCACTAGTATTCACAACTAATCGTACGCAGCTCCCTCCCCAAAAAAACAAAAACAACCCAACAAAGACATAGAAAGAAATTAGGTCGAATGGGCCCTCTCGTCTTCTCTTACAACCCCTGGGTCGTTGATATCATGAGTAAACGTATGATGTTGATGTAGTTCTCATCGCCCTCCCTCCTCGTTGCGGCTAACATTCCCCCCTTTCTCCTTCCATGCCTAGCTAACTTTTCAGCTTCCTTTCCCTCCTCATCGGCTGTTTCTCTTTTTTTTTCTTTTTTTAGTATTTTCTCATCTTCGCTTTTTCTTAGTCGAAGAACTTCTTGTACGCAGCCTTCTCCTTGGCAGCGCGGGCATTAGCCTTGGCCTTGACGGAGTTGAGCTCGTTGGTGACGGCCGAGTCCTCCGGAACGAGCTTGTGCGCCTCCTCGAGGTCCTTGAGGGCCGACTCCTCGTCCTTGAGGCGGACGTTGGCGAAGCCACGGCGGTAGAGCGCCTTGGCCTTCTCCTTGCCCGAGAGCCCGGGGACGGCGAGGGCCGAGGTGGAGAAGCGGATGGCGTCGTCCCAGGCCTCGAGCTTGGTGGACAGCAGGGCGGCGTTGGAGTTGAGGGAGAAGCGCAGGGCCGTGAGCGCGGCCTTGGTCTCGGCCGTCTCGTCCTCGAGGTCGGGCTCCTCGTTGAGGTAGCGCAGGCCCTTCTCGTACTTCTCGAGGCCGAGCTTGAGGTTTCCGGACTTAAAGGCCTTAGTGCCGTAGTCCTTGGATGCGGTGGCGATCTCGAGGACCTTCTTGGCGCTGAGCGGCTGCTCGCTGCAGTCCTCGGGGAAGTCCTCGTGGGGGTCGCCGAGGGCGTCGGGCTGCTTGACGGAGGCGGCCAGGGCGGCCTCGCCGGTGAGCTCGCCGCAGTCGAGGATGGAGGCCTCCTTCTTGGGCTTGTCGCCCGAGCCGGTCTGGAGGTTCTCGATCTGGCGGACGACGGACTTGCCGTTCAGGACCTCACCGAAGACGACGTGCTTGTTGTCCAGGTGGGGGGTTGGCACAGTAGTGATGAAGAACTGAGAGCCGTTGGTATCTGGGATGAAGGTTAGTACTTGATGTAAGAGCAAAGGATCAAATCGTGTGCGGGAAGTGTCTTACTAGGTCCGGCATTGGCCATGGACAGGAGGAACGGCTTCTCGTGCTTCCTGGGGAACGCCTCATCTTCGAACTTGGCGCCGTAGATGGACTCGCCGCCAGTGCCGTCACCAGCTGTGAAGTCACCACCCTGGATCATGAACTGCTTGATGACACGGTGGAAGATGGACCCCTTGTAGTGGAGGGGCTTTCCCGACTTGCCAACTCCCTTCTCGCCAGTGCAGAGGGCGCGGAAGTTCTCGGCCGTCTTGGGGACGAGGTCGGAGTACAGCTCCATGGTCACGCGGCCCAGCTCCTTTCCATCGAGGCCGATGTCAAAGAACACCCGGGGGCGCTTGGGAGCCTCGTCTGACGCCATTTTCTGTGGTGGGGGTGATGCGACTGTGGTGATGAGTGGTGGTGGGGTTGTGAGGGGAGAGGAAGAACAGTGAGAAGAGGTAGTTTCTGCTCTGTGCGTGAGATCTAATCTGGACGGGGAGGAAGGAGGAGGTGCTCGAAGTGGAGGAGGAGGAGAGGGAGGAGGAGGGAGAAGCGAAGGTATTAATGAAGGGAGGTGGTATCCGAAGCGAAGCAGAGAGAAGCGAAACGAGTGAGTGAGGCTGGCTGTATCTGATGGTGGGGTCAAAGAACGCTCGCTGCAGTGAGAGCGCTGGTGAATGCGGGGTACCTGCTCAGTCAATGCCGCAGCGTTCCCAGAGCCTGAAACTGTCTTTGTGCCTTAACAGCATCAGTCGATCATGCACAGCACAGCAGCTAGCCCACGAGCGTCCGACTCTGCAGCGCAAGGGCGGCTTTCAGCTGGCCCGGCCCTTGTCCTGCTTTATCATGAATCACCTCCCAGACGCTAGCCAAGCTGCTTGCACATCCATTGTGCTTGTCCGTCCATGGGTGTAGCCGTCAAACAAACCGCATACCCACCTACCCTAGGCCCGGGGCGAATGGGTCGCCTTGTCTGCTCTAGAAGTTTCCAGGGCCGATGCGGCACACGCAGACAATTATTACATACAGTCCAGCACGTACATGCATGCATTCATCCCTCCAGGGCCAACGACTGGTGGCTGGACCCCTACCGACAGGCCAAACCTACGCAAGTCCGCACACCTGCAGCCGCTCCAGAAGACCCTCAGGGATCACCCACTTAGGCTAGATAGCGGCGATTTGATTCGATTCGATGGTGAAAGCACGCATTGCTGAGAAATGGAGGCGCAAACTTGAGACGTCCTGCTACCTGAATCCGTTACCGAGGAGAACGACAACCTCGATTGTCAATCCAATTAGTCTACCCTACCCTAATGTCTCTGATTTTCGAGCAGACCGTCCGGTACAACTCTCGATAAGCCTTTTATTCCCCGATTCGTGATCTTGCCAACGGCCACCCTCCCTTGCTCGTCCCCTCCCTTACCCTAGATCGGGTGGCCAGGTACTTTGTGTGATAATGCGGGCATCCCGTCAGATTTGCTACTGCCCAGCCAGTAGTGCTTGAGATGGTTGCACAGGATCGATGCGTTGTCCAATGGAGCAACTCGACCATCCTCTCGACCAGCCTGGCAGTCAGCATGTGAGGTCCAGCCCACCAGACGAAATGTGGTCTGATTTCCCTGTCACATCTCAGTCTCGTTATCCGAATGGTTGCTCACTGCGCTTTGACGAGCACCGTCGTGCAGCCTAATAAGCGCGGAAGCTGCAGGGAGTCGTCGGGTGGGTGGTATACGCATGGCACACCAGGACGCCACACCGAGCCTTGCACACCTGTAACTCGTGCACCGAGGATTTATCGGTTGGCAATAATGGCCATAATGGGCTCTGATATCGCATACTGTCGTGGGATTTGGTTTTCATCCCGTTATGTTGATGATTCTCGCAGAATATCAGAGCGTCATGAGAGCGGCCTCGGTGTGGCACACTCTACGTCGCTCACTGGGGAGTGCCTTGTTGGTTGCATTGCCTAATTCCCTTGCGTGTGGCCTGTTGGCGATAGGTTACAGACCTTGACCCAGCTCGCTCTGAATGAGGAATGGTTCATCATGTTGGAGTGTCAATAGTGCTGCTCCATACCATTGTAATCCATGCCTTGCTGCGTCTATTGTCTATCCTGATCGAGTCATATGGTGTGACTATCATGGCTAACCCATCGCTAGTGAAACTCCCAGTTTGTGATCTATCCGTTTGTCTTCCCAGTCCAGACTCCAGCCTCACTCCTCCGGGGCTTTCCCCCCAGCTTGGAGCTCGAGCGTAACCTAGCCAGAGGCCCCAACGGCAAATGTCAGCCAACTCGATCCGATCGCTTCAAGACGGGCCGAGCCTCGAAGCGGCGATAGGGTGCAAGCTCTACATACCGGACCATCGTTGACTAATGCCACCTGCATCATAGCTTGGAACTTGCCGTCTTTGACTCGCTCGGGGTTGTACCCGGCCCCTATCTTCTGAACCAGAGAGTGGTACAGCGGGATGGCTTCGTCCGGGCCCATTGCGCCGTGGAAGTCGGGCTTGGTGCCCTTCTTGGTTTTGGCCAAGAGAGTGAATTGTGAAACTGCAGTGTGCCAAATGGGAAGTCAGCCTGACGCCTGGACCTCGCTTCCCCTTCCCACCCTTCCCGGATGGCTATTCCGTTTGGGATGGGAGGCGATGGGTCAAACCGATGGAGGGAGAAGAGCTGAGATTCTTACCGCAGAGAACCTCGCCCTCGATGTCCATTACATTCTTTTTCCACTATTGCGTGGCGAATCAATTGCCATAATCAGCAAAAATAAAAGTCTCGACCGGACGCCACAGACATATTGGAAAAGGGGAGGGGATCCGAGATTACCTTGCCGCCAGCCTCGTCATCCCACAGTTTCATTTTCAAGACTTTATTGGCGATGGTGGTGATCTCCTTGTCCGTGTCACCTGGCGCCACGGCGGCAAAGACCAGGACGCCTTTGCCAATCGACGAGACGACCTCCTGGTCAACTGTCACCGAGGCTGAGAGCACACGCTGGATGATGGCTACAGCAATTTGTGAGATGTGAGATGTCTATTTTTTTTCTTATCATGTGGTTCAATTTTTTACATAAACGGTGATGTCCGTACCCTTCATTGCTTTTTCTTTTGTGACCCAAGTTCGTCTCGCTAAGACCGGGGGAGTTGTTTCACATGCACTACAACCAGCTGAACACAAGAGGCTGTGCGTAGACCAATGCAATGGCTGAGTGCGTCTGGGGGTCGCAAACGCCGGGACTCTTCAAAGCAAGGCAGCAGGTAAATAGGATAAGGAAACCAAAATAACCCCGAAATGTAGCTGGTGGCTGCTGGTTGGCTTGGGGTCTGTTTGGGGCCAATTGCGGGCAGAATAAGTTGTTTTGCAGCTGCCAGTCAGACGTCGTCGGTCCTAGAACTAGGTCCCTCTAGGCCGGTATTGGGTTGTCGAGTCGGGTTTTGTAGGCGCGTGCGCGAGTCGACCAAGGCGGCTTTGGGCTGCTGTTGGGGCTGCTGCGGCCGCTGCCGTCATGTGAGCATGGGGGTTAGGTATGAGTAGGTGCGCCTTCGTGTAGCGCCTATAACATCGCGGGTGGGCTGCCGATGTACCTCAGCCTCGAGAAACAAGAGGACCATCGCACACTCGAGTTCAGACCAGTCTGTCCGGCTCAGGCTACATCTCCTGTCACACAAGCCCCCCGTTCAGATTAAATCCTCTTCATTTCCCCAGGCAGGAGGCATCTCATCGGGGCCCATTGCAGCGGCCGGCTTCCCTTGCGGGTCAACTGCATATCGACCCTACCTGGTACCTAACCTCTGCTAGCCAATGACATGCGCTGAACCTGGACTCTGCCAAACGCAAAACGCCTAGGCTTGCAGCTGGAGCACTTTGGAAGCGGCATCAACAAATCAACCACGAAACGACCACGACGGCCTCTCTCGAATCGTCAGGCCCGACCGTCCCAGAGTCAACCGCCCTTTTCTCCCCGACGCAGGCTGCGCCGTGCCATTTTGCGCTCCCCGCACTAGCACCGCATCCGGCGGATTGCTGAATCTCCAGATCATCGTCGATCCACCTCGTGACGACATCTGGCCTCTACCAAGCTCTCTCTGCCAGCTCGAGACCGAACAGCTAGGATCCCAGCACGAAGAGCGACTACTCATCCGATTCCAGGCAGATTCGTGAGCGCCCAGGGCTCGCAGACACAGTCACAATGGCGGCAAGGAAACTGCAACAAGAAGTGGACAAGTGCTTCAAGAAGGTGGCGGAGGGAATCGCCGAATTCGAGGGCATCTACGACAAGATCGAACAATCAAATAACCCGGCCCAGAAAGAGAAGCTCGAAGACCAGCTGAAACGTGAGATCAAGAAGCTGCAGCGGTTGCGCGACCAGATCAAGACATGGGCGGCGAGTAACGACATCAAGGACAAGGCTCCCTTATTGGAGCACCGCAAGCTGATAGAAACGGTTGGTGACACACCCCCATGACATGGCCGGGAGACCTTTTTTTCTAGATGGTCGTACCAGGTTGGACTATATCGTGTACTGATTGCGCATTTTCGCCGTGTTTCTAGCAAATGGAGAAGTTCAAGGCGGTGGAGAAGGCCATGAAGACCAAGGCCTACTCCAAGGAAGGCCTATCAGCGGCGGCCAAGCTGGATCCCAAGGAGCAGGCCAAGGTCGAGACCAGCGACTTCCTCAACAACACCGTTGATGAACTGGAACAGCAGATCGAGACCCTCGAGGCCGAGAGCGAAGCCTTATCAGCGACGATGAAGAGGGGCAAGAACCACAACCAGAAAGCAGAACGCATCGCGACGATCGAGAATATCATCGAGCGACATAAATTCCATCAAGGCAAGCTAGAACTCATCCGAAGATCGTTAGAGAATGGCGCCATTACCACGGATCAGGTCAAGGATCTCGAGGAGAGCATCAAGTACTACGTCTCCGACGGCATGAATGATGACTTCATGGAAGACGAGGGGCTCTACGACGAGTTGGATCTTGACGAGGAGGAGGGCACCTACGGTATGTCTTTGGACAACGAGAAGGGCTCATCACAGGATACACAATCCGTGCAAGACGACTTCGTCCCAGAGCTGGAACCACCCGTGAAGACGAGGAAAGTGCAGAAGGAACCCGACGTCCCGACCACTACCGCCCGAAAGACTTCATCCCAGACCAAGTCACCCTTACCAGCACTCGCGACGTTACATACTCCGCTCTCTACAACCAACGGGACTGGCAGCGGCCCTTCAATGAAGCCGGCATCGTTACCCACCAGGCCAGCGGGCGAGGGTCTGAAGTATGCCTCAGCGGCGGCAGCAGCTGCGGCCAGCGACAAGAACAATGTGGGCATTGCACCTTTACCACCGCCGCCTGGGTCTCAGAGCATAGGCATATCACCGTTACCGCCAATTCAGGCCAGGACGAGCGCGACGAGTTCTCCCGCCACCTCGATGGTGCTGCCTGCATCGTCGTCATCAGAGTCTAGGCACATTCCCGGGACGAGCTCGGGGCTGTCAGAAGCGGACTCATCCGTGTTGATTACTCCAGCTCGACAAAAGAAGACCAAGGCTGCGAAGCAATCCGCAGCCGCAGAGGCAGCAGAGTCAAGCAAAGGTACTTTTCCGGACCCCAATTGTGATTACGACGCTCTTAGCATATTGACGTGTTCCATAGCACCTGCCCCGACCAACGGCGTTACGAATGGCATCAAGCCAATTGAGGAGGAGCCGGAAGAGGAGTCCATCTACCACCTCCCAGCCTCATTACACGACCTGGTCGAGTCATTCGAGGGCTCGAAAAAGCGTATCCCGCATCCCGCGTCACAGGCTGCCATCCGGATGATGAGCACGAGCCAGGCCAGCTGCCCCGACCAAAGTGATGCGGACTTCCCCCGGAGCTATCACCCCGACGCGCCCATGCCGGCCGCCTCGGCGTCAGGATTCCCCAAGGAGCCCCTGCCCATCTTCGACGACCCAAGGCTGTACTCTCGCATAGACTCCGACACCCTGTTCTACGTCTTCTACTACAAGCAGGGCACGCCGCACCAGTACCTGGCCGCCAAGGCGCTCAAGGACCAGAGCTGGCGCTTCCACAAGCAGTACCAGACCTGGTTCCAGCGTCACGAGGAGCCCAAGAACATCACCGACGAGTTCGAGCAGGGCACGTACCGCTTCTTCGACTACGAGAGCACCTGGTAAGTCTACATTTCTCGCCCTGTTACGCACTTTTCCGTCTTCCAACGTACCACATCTTACTAATACCGCCCCCCTTTAGGATGAACCGGAGGAAAGCCGACTTCAAGTTTGCTTACAAGTTCCTCGAAGACGATATCTAAATGGCCTGGGTCAGACCCCCTAATCCATTTGCACTTTTTTTCCCGTTTGGTTTTGTGGCGCCGGAAACCGGCACTGGAGGCATCAGGACAGGGAAAGGAAAAAGAAACAAACTTGGGAAGAGGGAACAAACAAGATCCCTCCCCAAATCCCCGATAACGGTGTTAGGAGAGTCTATTCTATTTTTCATGCGTGTTATGTGACTAGGTTGGTCATTGTTGGTTTTTTTTGTAAGATCCCTCTAAGGGGGATCATGTGTTACCCATTGAACCCAAATGCCCGCTTTCCCCCTCTCCCCGGTTCATGTCTTTCTTGTTCTTATTTTTTGGGTCAAACCGCATTTTCGTGGGGTTTAAGGGATTCACAGGAACAGTTTGGGGCAAAGGGGTCTAGTCTTTTAGTTCTACGAAACATGCCAGGAATCAAGCAAATGGTAGTTGTTGAAAGCCCCTTTCCCTCTCTCTCTCTCCCCTCCCCTCCTTTTCCTAACCCCCAAGGTATACTTTCTGCCTTGGGCGTATTGGAGGTGTGGGAAGGGGGAAGGAACCCTGGGGCAGAAACGCAAACGATTTCCCTCTCGTTCTGTATTGTGTAGTATCAAGTGCGACATGTCGTATCTCGCGGAGGGGGGAGGGAGGTGCCCTGAAGTGGCATTCCGTATCGAACTTGGTCGGCTTAGCAGCCTCATTATTTGAAATTCACATCTGTTTCGATCCCACCCCTTTTTTGTGATCTTATTTTTCGGGGTGTGGTTCGGTTAGACCCCCGCATGAAGATGATTTCTGCCCTTGTTTCTTCGGGGTGTGGTTCGCACCGGAATTTGCCAGAGTGACGGGTGGCCATGTGACCATGCGAGATGAAGTGCGGATCGTTACAAACTCAAAGTGCAAATGTGATATCAACCGTCGAAGGAGTTTGAGAGCCTCATACCCACACCCCCGTTCCGTACTGCTATAAATTCCTGGGGAACTGTAATGGGTGAGGGTACGTGTTACTCCGGGGAGGCCCTTTGTTTGTCCCCGAACCACGTAGGCACGAGGATTGGGCTTTGGTTACGGTTTGTTTGTCGTCTTGGGCTATCTTACCTCTTCGGCATGATAGAGCCGGCTTCATCTAGGGTGGCAAACAATTACAAATGCAAGAGGGCGTGACCTGGTGACGACATCGGAGGAGACGACATCGGAGAAGACAGAGGCTGTGTTGGCGTGCGATATAGCACAATATAGAAAAACCAAGGTGTTGAATGGGACGAGCGTTTCGCTTGGTTGGGCGATATCGCAGTGTTCCCTTTTCCCCGGAGAAGGCTATTGAATCGGCGCGGAGGTGTGGGCAAACTGAAGCGGGTTTCTGCGGCACAAGGAGGAGATAGGCAAGCAGCGGCATTCAGATTTTGGAGCTAAAGTGCGAGCAAGGAACCCGACAAACAACGTAGGAGGGGAGGTGTGCCGGAACCTGTACCGGATTTCGGGGACACCCAGGGGAAACTTCAGCCAGTTGTGGTTATTGAGCACGTGTGCGCATTCTTTGGCTTGCGATTGGAATCTGCAACAATCATGGCGAGGCACGAATGAGGGGAGAGGCGGCTGTCTGCGTTGTCAGAGCTGGAGAACTAGCTTGGGAGCTAGGACGAGCTGCACCCCTCGAGCTTCAGCTGGGCAGTGCCGAGGCATGACGCATAGATAGTGCTTGATGTTATCAAAGAAGTGTTGACAAGATTAAATTATTCCTCCGGGATTGAGTTGCCTATCAATTGGGGAACGTGAGTCGGGAGATGG